TTTGCTGGTACAGGTTTCTGCAGACAGCAAGGAGGATGTGGGATGAAAAGGTGAAAGGGGAGTGCAGTGTGCATGAGCTGCTTCGCCAGAGAAGCAGAATGACAAGTGCTTCCTTCGAGGTGACACACACAAACTGCAGAACGCACAAGTCCCACCAGGTTTTCTTCACCCGCGTGCAGACCTCCTGCACGAGGCATTTTAAGACTTAAGGACCGGTTAGGCCTTGTGCCGTCTTTTCTTGCCCTCTGGTCAGGGAGATCCCTCATTCAGTGCACCTTCAGCCAGAAACCAAACCACAGATAACAACACACGATGAGGAGGAACACTGACAACAAACCACACAGAAGCCAAGAAAGCTATATGACGAGAAAGACACCGTATTATGAATGTAGGTGTGTGAATCAGGAAGCAACAATGTTCCACTTCAACGTGAAGATTCAAAAAAAAAAAAAATTCCTCCAGAGTTTTTCATTCAGAGCAGCAGCTAAACTAGGCTCTTGTTCCAAAGGCTCCAACAAAGTTTCTCTTCCTTTCCCCAATAAAACGCTGCTGAAACTGAGGAAGACTAGCCTGGGGAAACAGAAGTCAGCCTTTGTGATTACCCACCTTCGGCTTACTCTGGCATTTTCACATCTCAGTGCACAATTGCTTTATTGTTTTCCCCTGTCTGCAGAGTCCACTGAAAACGTTGATCCAGCAAAGCATTAGTGATTCCAGGGCAAAACAGGTACAAGTGTAACATGTATCATATCTACCCACCCTCCCCCCAAATTTTTCAAAAATAAATAATGCATCATAACCAGAATAAGAAGATTGAAAATTTTTATTTGTACTTAGCACATACAGGAAAGATCAAAACAAATATTAAAAGATAGCATTTGTAAACAAATATATTTCACAAAGTTACACGCTATCAAATTTGCTCTGGAAAAAAAAATAAATCATGGTAATAGCTGTTTATAAATGGATATTTATCAAAATCACGTTAAAAACTACTTCATTTTTAAAATATCCCAAATGAAGATTCATTCATTCCAACAACTTCAGAGAGACCACAGACGCAAGGCCTAATTAAAACTGACTGAAGATGGCACTAGGATTTCCAGTTTTTAAAAAAATAAATCGGCAAGTAATCAAAATATCAGCCAAGCCTATTTAAAGACCTAGGTTTGTAAAATATACATTCAACTTTGCAAATGTCTAACTTAAAAAAATAGAGCTATTCCACTGGATTGTCCTCATGTTGTAATGCACTAATCTGAGCTGTGTTTTTGAATCCACGCAGAGAAAAGTTATCAGTAGGTAGTTTTATGCGATTGTATAGTTCACTTCCATAACCACATCAAAAATAAGAAGACAGCAGCACCCTTTTAGCAAGGACTCATTTTTAACATTCTTGCCTTCATAGCAGCAGGTATGGTTTTGGGGGTTGCTGTCAATATAACCTGTATGTCAAAAAGGAACACACATGCCTCCAGGAAGTTTTTTTTACAGTGTTCTTTCCCTGTACTTGTTTTCAAAGGTAGGCAAGCACCTCTATTTTTGCTGCAGAACACAAATATTAAAAACAAACGCCACCCAAACCTATGACTAACTCAGCAGGCTCCCTTTGGTGGTGGTCCACAAGCCATTTTGATTGCCAGTATAAATTCTGCTTTCTCCTCCCTCCAATCTCCTATATGCATGTCAACTAAAAACCTAAGTTTCTCAAACTTCACCTATTACTTTGACTCAAAAGGAACAAGATAATAAAAATAACTAAGGCACAAATGGCTGATCTCCAACAGCAGGCATAGGGGCCACAGATTCGGAAGTAAGGTAGAATGTAAATCCCCAGAAATATTTCTGGTCTTGGGGCACTGAAAATTCTTACCAGCTTTCACTAAAGGTTTTTCAAGATTTTTTTACAAAGATGTGGAAAATACTTTTCCCAAGAATGTCCATGAACACTAAACAAGGATGAATGTACATACAAAGACACACGCTTTATGCACAATACACTTTGAACGTACTGCAGACAGACAAGGACCATGGAATGCAAGGATTGTCTAAGATGGCAGGTGAAATGAAGATGACTGTTTTTCAGAGAGTCGTCATGAGTTTATCTTGGTACACCATACTTTGGACTCCTCCTAAATTCTTCTGGTTCTGTTCCTGGATATATCGTAAATTGTTGTCCTCTCCACTTGTGGGGGGTTTCCAGTATGGCCTGTCATCATGATAGGGTGGCCTGTACCATTTGCACAGTTATTGGTTAGTGAGAGATGGAAGTAAACTTATGAATGCTACACAGAAACATGAGTTCATCCAGCAAGTGCTAAGCATGCATGTGCCCATGTGTGATGGGCAGCTATCAGGAAGGGAAGGAGGTGGTGACAGACCCATAAGGCTGATGCAGAAGCCACTGAAGCAACTGGGAATCTTTTAGCTGATTGCAAAAGGCACAGAATCAGAGCTCAGCCATTAAAACCTCTCTGTTTTCAAGAGTTACAGGCAAGTGTTGTGTACCAACGCTCCTGAACCCCAGAGGGATGGGAGGGAGGAAGGAGGCTGCTATAGGAAAACTAAATGTATGCAACAAACAAGTAAAATAAACCATATCAAGCAAAAACTTAAGCTCGTGAAAGTGCCTCCCTAAGGCCTAAAAAATTAAGAAAGGCAATCCTATTAAGAATGAAAATTACTCTTCTGTAAATATTGCCACTGGTTCAGGGCTGGTGCAGTTACTGACTGAAGCAGCCTATAAATTACACAGTTGCATTTTGTTAGGATGAAGACCTGGAGTCTATGGCTAGTGCAGGTATTTCTCTGTGACTATGTAGTGAAAATTGCACAAGGACTAAGAGGAAAAATATTTTTTCCTTATTTGTTTATTACTTATTGCTGCTTAGAGATATTAAGCTCAACCACTCCCACAGTGACTCTTGAATCACTGGGGTGGAGGGGAGGATAAATAAATAACCAAACAATTTTGAACAGTATGTAGGAAACCACAATATTTAAGATTCACTAACTACCCAACTGAATTTGCACCTTTTATTTTGGTAATCTTTTTTAATGTCAGCAGAAATACAAGCAGGTTTAGATTTTTTTTTTTTTTGAGATATTCTGATGTTATATAATGACCATTATTAATTGGAATTAATTTTCTCAGAAGACTGAACATTAACTTAAGAGCAAACAAATAATTTCACTGAAACTATTTTGAGAAGAAGACCAAGACACAATTACACGTATTATTTCAGAAATTATTCAACAAAAAGACATATATAACATGTATGGCACATGTAGACTCATTTCAGCCCTTGGCCTATTCTAGACTTGCATGCCCAGCAGGAAGAATTTCATGCATCTGTGGTTTGAGCTCAAGTTCATAGTCAGATGGATTAATCTTTCTCAAATCAAGCTATCCAAGATGTTAAACCTCCAACTCTTCCACTTTGACTCCAAGTTCAAATAGCCTGCAGCTTCCACTTTAACCACACATTTAAACTGGTCTACCTGACTGGGACAAAAATTCTGAGCACCTTTTCTCCCGAGCTTGCATTACTGGACTTTTAAGTACGTTTTTCTTAGACTTACAAGACTAGCTATAAAAAAGCCATTGTTCATATCTCACTGACCTTAATCTTTGCCCACGCAGCAAAGGGGCTGAAGGGGGAGGTTGTCTATACACATTACAATACATTATTGTGCTTCCTTCAATATCATTCTGCTCCAGGATGAACTATTTGGCCTTACGATGTTACAGACTAGTACCGTAAGTGAAGAAATCTTTTGAAAAATTTTGGCAAAACCTCAAACAATTTATAAACTCATTAACCTCTCTCGGCAAGAACTCTTTTATAATGTGAAATGGCACATTTTAAATAACACACAAAAATATGGATAAGTAAATGCTAAACCCAGGAAGAACCTTGAACACGAAGTACTGCTGGCAAAGTTAATTATGCAATTTAAAGTGTCTTCCCCTTCTAGCATAAACTTAGTATCTACTTTAATGCTGTATGCTAGAAATTTTGAGATGGCAACGAGTGTGTCTGCTTCTCCGCCTCGTATTTCTAGTGACATATTTGCCTTTTCCCCGCATTCTCAAACTCAGACCCAAATTGTCTTTTCATCGATTTTAAGCTCAGTCCCATCTCCAGAGCCTGCCTACACCAAAACCAAAGTCTATCTATCCTGATGTAAGAATACAGAGATAAAAATGTAAGATGAATAGGAATGAAAATTAGGGCATTGGTATTTTTCAATCAAAACAGTAATCGTTTGTCTAAAAGACTCAGTAATCTAAAAAGTTTACTTTTTATTAGGATAAAATAGTAGCTGACTTTTATCTTGTGTACATTCCACCAAGCTGGTTCTAACTTGGACTGAATTTCTTCCAATATTTCACTCAGTTTCTCTCATTACTAGTTACAAAGTAAAAAAGTATGCCAGAAGATAGCACAATAGCACATACAGGAATATTTTTTGAAACAGTTCTCAAAGACTCAATGTTATGGTATCACTAATTATCTGTAAAGTCCCTGATACATTGTTCCATGCACATGGTTTTTTTCCATATACATTTCTGCCAAAAATGAAAAAAATGCTGCAATGCAACAATCTCTTCACTCAAAACTTAACTTCATCCTAAAATAACTTTCTCTTTGTTTTAGGAGATTAAATACTGATCAAATTGCAATTAGTTTTACTGAAGCTACTGAGCAACTTCCCATCCAACACACTCCCTTACAGAAATACACTAAAGTTGTATTTCGGATTCTGAATTAAAAATCAACCCCTCCCCCCCCCAAAAAAAAATCACCAAGGAGATTAGGACATTCCAAAGCAAAATCTAAATTGAAGTTATTTAATACTGCCTCTACATCACACATTTCTAACTTCTGTTTGCTTTTCATGTGCAGAAAAATCTCCCTATAAGTCTACCAAAGCTTCAGGCCAACAGATCAAGATAAAGAAGTAATAATCTATTTCACACAGTGAAGACTGCTTACCTTACATTCACAGGTGTATGTGGATGCCAGTGTGGCTGAGCAGGATGTATATTAGGATGATACTGTGGCTGCAAGTGAAAACATTGAACCCAGTTAATGAAATCATATAAAAACTCCCTATTAATTTTAACTTTTTATTTTTCTGGGGCTAAATGGAACATGCCCCCTGTGAGCCCTGGAAACTCCACTGTTTCAGCCTTTCTCCCATGTCACTTAGCATATATATGAGATCTCTTGGTGAAGAGATTGCTCGTTAGGACACACTCATGGGAAAACACAAAGAAAATTGCTTTTCTGTTTGAGAGACAGCCTGGCACATCTAGCTCGACTCATAGAAAGCACATCAAATGAATGTCAGCTTTAATCAAAGGTGGAGAGTGAGAAAGGTTACTATAATAATAGCAGTCTTCAGGAGGTCACCTATCTTTGGTGTCAGCATTTCTCTCTCATATCCATGAGAACTTGAGGAGAAACAGTGAAACAAAATCACTAGTAAGGCTTTTAATAAAAACAAGTGTTAAGACTAAGTTGTCACACACACACTCAGTTTGGACGAGAGCAGAGCTTGGTTTCTCAGCAGCACTGACTGCTAGTATCACAGATGAAAACTGTGTAACGTTTTTCCTTGAAGTGTATAAAGGAGCTTGTTTAAAAAAACAAAACAAAACCAAAAAAATAATAAGAAAAAAATTGACCAGCAATGAACTCCTTAAGTGTTGTGATGGGGAAGATAATTGCAACTTTGAACTTGTTGTCATGGATCATCTAATGTGGGAGGCTGCTCTAGACAAAAGAGTTGCTCACAGAGCAGCCTCCTGGGGTCCATCATATCCACAGTCCCAAAGGTTTTAACCTGTGTTTTCACAGAAAGGGAAGGGAGGGGAAAGAGGGTGGAAAATTGAGTGTATTCAGCTTGTAGAGCATCCAAGAACACAGAGGAAGAAAGAGAGAAGAGTTCTTCCACTTTCCCCTTAACTCCCAATGTGATGCTGCTTATTTCTGAACCACCCCAGAGAATCTCACCTGGAAAGGGGAGCAAAACCAGCTGTACTAATTGCAGAGAGCAAAAATACTTTTCACTAAATAAGAAAATGACAATATTATCTTCAACAACTGTTATGCTCTTACCTGGTAGTTATGGACTTCAGGAGTATTTTTAGCACTAAGGGAGAAAAAAAAAAAAAAGCTTTTAAGTAATCAATACATCTATGTCACAATTTCCTATAGTTCAGGGTTCTACCCTTCAGGGAAGTATTACAGTGAAGTAAAAATCATATTCTTAAGGATATCAATATTTATTCAAGATATACGCCCAAGCAGTTAGGGTGCAAGAAAGAGGGGTGCAAAATTTTTTTCTTCATTTTACATTTATGGAACAGGAACAAATAATGCTAGATAAGTCAGCATAATAGCAATGAGCACAAAGGAAATATCCTTTACTTTAGTCTGATCTCCAATGCAAAGAGAAAAAAATTAAAAAATTGAAGCACTTAAAGTCTCATAAGCTGTCCCCAAGAAGAAACTGGTGCTGCATAATGAGAGATCCCAAAGCAATTCATGCCACACCAGAGAATTTGTTTCGACAAATCCTAATGCAGAAATGGTCTTCAGAATCCTATTTGCCTGACAACAGCAACTGAGAGGTAGAGAGAACTTGGGCAGTCACTTACCACAGTTGTGCAGCTTTCACGGGATTGTTTGCTTAAAAAGAAAGAAATAAAAAAAAACAACCTTAAGACATGTGAAATATCAGTCATTTTGCAGCTCTTGTGACTGGGACGTTACACTACAGCTTAAGTGAATCCTCAGACAGACACATTTGCCCAAACGCATCAGAATCGCAAGTGCAGCCCTGTGCTTTCTAGCATTCCTGTGAGTACATAAAGTATGAGGCAGACATGGACCTCCTTCTGTCTCTGCAAGAGTCAAAGTCCATCAAAGACAACAGCAGATGAGTATTCTTCCCAAATGTCACAACAGCAAGACTTTTGGCAGAATGAGTTCTGCACAGCCAGAGCACTACTTTTCTCACCTTGCTGTAGATTCCATGTCAACACCAGTGAGTTCCTCAGAAATCAGAAGCTACCCCTCAGCAATTTTGCATCTTACAGAAACCAGAGTGTTCCTGAAGTTGGTAATGGCCTGTGTCTTATTACAGTGAATGATGGTAGCCAAAAAAGCTCATCAGTTGGGAATGTGGGAAGACACTGAGCAATCCTAAGCAACAAGGTCTTAGCTTGTGCTTTGGTCAGGCTGGAAGGAACGGTGAAGAAGGCAGCTGAATAACTGGGAAGTATAATTGCTTTTTCTTGACAAACAGCATATTTTTCAATAGCACTGAAAAATTTCTGAGTGATACAGCTGAAAATCCAAGTCCCTACTGAATGCAGAAAGTGGATGACAAACTTAATGAGACACTGTACAAGTCTCACAGAGACTGACCTAGGGCAGAATCCAACACTTGTGGGCTGCAACTACGTACGGGCCTTAATGGCCAAGAGATACTTGAAAAGCAATAATCTAAAGGGAGTTTTTGCCTTAACTTAATAAACATGCTGTTGAGTTCTCTGGAGGGAGATCACCTGGGTATGACAGAAGGTCTGCTTGGCTGCTATGCACGGAGAACTAAACTGAGCATAAGCCACGCTTTCTCTCTTCTCCTCCCATCCCACAGACATTAAGTACAAAAGCACTGAGACCCAAGGCATAACCTTCAGGCTTGACAGATCCTGTTGCTGTAAAAATAAAATTAAAATAATCTATTGTTCCACTTAGGAAATCACGCACACTTACCATATAATTGACCCTCACGTGTCACATAACAGTATCTCAGAAATTTAATAAATTTGCATTGCTGTAAAAAAATGACATGTCCTATGGAAGGGGCGGGGGGTTATAGCCTCTAAAAAGCACGCATGCTTGCTACCCTTTTCCCCCCATTGTACATGGGAAATAAAAGTGCCCTCATGATACCACTGGGACTTTTCATGGAACTGAGGTTCATATTCTAGGAATGCAAAGGAGTGCAAAGACATCCTAAGGGAATGTCAGCTCGCCCTGCTCCACACACCAACTACACCTCCAGCCTCAATTAATAGATAATTTAGAGGGGGTTGTCTCGCAGTGCTCCTTCCTAGGTTTTTCTACAAGGAATAAAAATCGCAGCTTAAGTTTTGAAGGACAAATGACAAAACCACAAGGGAAATCCTTGTCATTCCATTCAAATCCAACCCGTTTCAAACTCCCAGAGAAAGCTGGTTAAGGTCAGAGTCTGGAAAGGTGAACAACACGCCATTATAGTCAGCAAAACAGCAACAACTGCATAATGAGGCTGTGCAATAACCCTAAAACTGTCTGGCTAGATAAGCAAGTCAACAAGGCTTTTGGACACTGCTTCACTCTACATGACAAAGGCGCTTTTTCAAAGTAAATGTTACATGCTTTCCCTCATTCAGTTTGATGCAACTTTTCTTCCCTCCTCAACTGAGCAACGAAAGAAACCACCATAGGTACCTCCTTATCCGTAGGTGGGGGATGGGAGAATTAAGTGTGGACAGAGATTAAACACAGTAGATACAAACAACAGACGCTGACTTTGGAGAGAAAAAAAACCCAAAGCACCAAAAACATGTACGTTCTGATTTTCTAGGTGGTCTGACAGATTTTTCTTTAGATACTGTGGTATAGATTTTATAGTTGTAATATGACATTTATATGAGTTAACAGGACACCCACATGACCAGTTCAAGAGAACACACATACAAACACTTACCCTTAAAAGTTGAATGCCTTCGAGAAGGATATCGCTTGCTGGGCCTTCTTTCAAACGTACTAGTTCTGCGTAACCTTGTCCCATGTGTCGCTTGATACTCTGTCCGCCCACTTAAAACAGAAATAAACAGAAGTCAACTAATGCCTTTTGCTGGATGCTGTACCTGCTGCTTTGCATAAACACAAATATATTGATGTTACTTTGCTAAATACCTGAATCTGAAGCGTGATCCCAGCCTTATGAAGTCGGATCTACTAGATTTACTGTTTGCTGGGGCTCGCAATCTGAAGAAAGCATGGTGCTCCACCGCACACTTCCACAGATGTTTGCATGTTTTGGCACTGTCTAACCGGAAAACAAATGTGTGCTCTTGCTCTCTGCCCTAAATGCAGAAACAAAAGCCTTGGAAGTTGGCATGCATGGTATTAGTTACTGTACTTGGTAGGAGAAATACAGTCTGGGCCAACAGTGTGCTGAGCCTCCCCTGTGTTCTTGCCAGCCTGAGCACACACCACACTGTTGGATCAGGTTCAAGTAAGGGAAGAAAGTTACCTGTTCGTCGTCTTCTACAACCACAAGTGTTAGTTTGCTCTTTTTAAAGTCCATTTTTGTGATTTTAGGCCTAAACACAAGAAGCAAAAAGAAAATGAACGGAAAAATAGCATTTTGTAATCTAGGAGAATCCTCCAAAATGTCTGAGTGATCTGCAATCCTGGAACACTTTGGGAATCATAATAAAAGTATGATTTCCTGGAAATGTGACTGTTTTTCAACAAACACTTCAGAGTGGTACTTCTAACCAGGCCAATTTACCTTCAGATTTAACTTTGTAGAGTCAATATACATTACAAAATACAGGAAAGACCCCATTATGTAAAGGAGAAAGATTTCAGCATTTTAACTGAAAGGAATATAGCACAAAAACAGATTACCAAAAGAATAAGCCTATTTTGTTGGCTCCTTCAAAAATCAATATGCCTGTTGGTGTCAGTCCAAGAGCATATTCACAACCATCTCTTCCCTGTAAGCAAGCACAGAATCAATAATCAATATGCCACCAGTAGTGTAAATCTTACTACAGTAGTATGTCAAAATCCATTGGTTTTAAACTAAGCAATAAGGTTTGCAGATTTTTTAACATTACAGAGCAGAAGAATATGCATCTGTATTGGGTGCAAACTATCAGGTTTTGGCAACAGGGGGCTGCAGATTGCCCTGCGTGGGAGGAGGCTGTGTGCTGCCCCAGATGGCTCTCATGCCCATGGAAATGGCCCCGCACCAAGACTGCAGCCAGGGGAGCCCACACCTTGGCTCACATGTGTTTAAGAGCAAGCAGTAGCCACCAGGGGAAGGAGACACAAAAGGAAAAATCTGAGGGACATGGGAAAAGGCATGTGGAAAGGGACACTGTGTGGGACATGGCTGGAGATGCAACCCTGGGAGGAGCCTCTCCCTGCATGGGAGAGGTACTTCTGAGGGACTGTGGCCCAGGGGCAACCCACACCACAACAGGGACACCCTGAGGGATTGACCCAAACCAGAGCAGGGACAAGAGAGGCCATGGCCCATGGGTGCCTCACACTGGGGCAGGGACAACAGTCCACAGAGAACCTCTGCCAGGGGAGAGGTGGCCCTGAGAGACAGTGGTCCATGGGTGACCCATGCAGCAGCAGAGGAGTAGTAAGAAGCACAGGTCAGCAGAGGAAAATGAGTGAGAAGCAGGAAGCAGCACAAAGAAACTGTTGTGCAGATGACTCCAACCTTTTGGGCTCCCTTGGGAGGGACTGAGTGCAACCTGCAGGGAGCTGACACTAGGAAGAGGGGAGCAGAGGTGCTGAACTGAGGTTGAGCTGGGGAAGGGGGAGGAAAGGTGTTTCTGTGTTTTATTGTTGTTTTTTTTTTTTTTTGTTAGTACCCACATCAGTAATTAAATGTTTATGATAATTGTCAGTATAATAAATTCAGTGAAATTCCCTGAGTCGAGACTGTTTTGCCTGAGACAGCATCTTTATTCAATGTTCTGATCCCTCATTAATAAAATAAAGTATAACATGGGTCTTACCTTAACTACATGCATATCTACACCATACATTTCTAGCCATTTAGCTTTATTCAAGTAGCACAATTCAGCCTGCGCTGGGCTCTTTCCCCTAAGAATATAAAATATATTTATTACTTTACCATATGAAATTTATGTCCATTTTAAATGTTTTAAAGTTTGTTCCTCTATCTCTTTTCCTTGGGCCCTCAATCTTAATGACAACAAAGTGTACCATATTTACTAACAAAAAGACAGGAAAAAGCATTTGTACTACCCTGAACATAAAACTTTGTGTGCATGCGTGAAAGGAGAGAAAGAGAGAGAAACAGAATTATTTCCAACTTGGACAGAGAAAAGATCAGATTGCTTAAACTGTTCTGGAATCACCTAAAGAAAAACAAACAAACAAACAGAAAAAGAAAACTCACCCCACCAATCTTCCCTAAATTACTGCTTGCCACTTCTAAGAAGGGGAAGGGCTCAAAGTCTATCTACAATACTTCTCAACTGGCAAACTTAATCACAAGATGTTTTACATCTGTTGAAGAGGTTCTTGTAGGCATACTTGGAAAAGAAGAAAACCTCCTGTGGCTAGAGAC